TTTGCGTTTAATCTTCTCACCGTTATGTTCTGCTGCGGGTCTTTTGGATTTCCTTGCTGATTTGACAAACGCCCAGTTTGGGTATCTTCAGATTTGAAGACAATCTTTAATGTGTTTCTGTTGGTTGCTCTTCCCTGTTTTAGTTGGGACATGCTCGGCCCGCTGTTCTAAGGTTTTCTGATCCTAAACAAGCTTTTGTTTTTGGTCCGCTCTATAAAACCTGGAGCTAAAGGCTATTTCTGACATTTTGAATTGAAAAAGCTTTCTGGATGGAAGAGAAACATCTTCAAACTAGGAAACAAAATCCAGTGGATTGTTTTTTGTTTTTTTTTACTTTTTTGGAATTATTTTTAAATGTTTATGATGATAAAATATTTAATAGTTTTTAACCCCGTGATCATATGGGAATGTAGGAGAATACAGTAGGAGCGTCCAGAATCCACGTAGATTACGTCACTTCTTCCAAACTATAAGGTAACTTGAACGTACCCCTCAGGTGTCTAAACTGACCCCTAAGTTACATCACTACGACCGATTAGCTTGTTGTTTGCCGCCATGTTGGATCCATTGGATCAAGGAACCGACCCAGGGCCCTCATAAACCACCAAATCCTCTCACCATCTTTGTGGAGGCGCTGTACTCGTTCTGGTCGTCAAGGTGACAGCGGCCGTCGTGCGGCTGGACCAGTCCTCCCAGCCGACCGTCCAGAGCGAGGTGCGGCACGTCGTCTGTGGCGAACACCAGCAGGTGCGAGGCCTCCTTCCTCCAGCCGATTTCCTTCTGTTGGAGCCAAACAGGTGGGGGAGGGGGGTTAAAATCAGAGAGTGTTATCAAAGGAGGAACAGATAAAAGAAAAATAACTAAACCTTTTAGTTTCCTTTTTACTCAAACTGACACTTTCTTTCTTTTCTGGAAGCCTGAGAACCGACCCGAACACACGGACCCACACAGTTCTACAAAAGGCCCGGTCCGGCCATTATGGCATGGAAACAATGGTTGCATCCAATCAGCAGAGAGGCCCTTTAGGCGCCCCTTTGTTCATTCTGTAAAGTTCTCAGAGCGCCGGGCGGCTGACCCGCAGCCTCTGAATAACAAACACTGCTTGTGTTGGAGGGAAGCAGCTCTGCGATGCTGCTGTTCCATTCTATCTAATCATTTCTATTCAAGTCTACAGCTTCCCACTCTTTTTATTATTCTACAAAGTTTGAGAGGCCAATAAAACCTTTATGTACTTTGGTTAATAAATCAGAAAGTGTGAAGGTCTGGAGGAAGAATCAGAACAGCTGAGGTCTTGAAGCTTAGGACGGTTTTTCATCATCCTCTGACTGTGGAAACTCTAAAATCCCATGCTCATCCAATCAGTGAACTCAACACGCATAAACCTACGAGGCCAGCTGACA